AACAACCTTGAAAGATTTTCCGTGACGCCATTGGTGGTACATACTACAGTTGTTGCTTGCAGCTTCGAACAAATTAATTGAGGATTTCCGAAAAGAATGCTTGATTTCGTTTTTTTTTAAACTTAAATTTTCAAAAAAAAACATAAATTAGGATTCGTATCCACTCTGCCATATCCGCTTTGTACGCAGGCACATGTCTTAACTTTGTATAAACGAGAAATTATTTCGAACATACGTTATATTCCTTAAAAAGCCGTCCACATAGATAGTATATAGTTGCAGATATAGGCACAATATCTATCTTTCAAAGTCAGTTAATATGGTAACTCAATAACGAACTCGGATTCTCCTACATCTGATTTCCGATCTTAAAGAAATTTGAACGAATATGTTTATGTACTTTTTCGCGACAGCCAAGTTTTGGCTTGGATGTAAAATTGCCAGCCCAGCTAGCGATGTCAAATGCAACCTCCAAAATTCAAGCGTCCTGTACACTATATCTCATAATAATATTTTGTAAAAAGGTTCTATCTTACGTCCCGTATCCTCCTCCTTGTATTTCACTACTTTCCTAAGAAGTGCATATTTTGAATATATACAGAAGCAGTATCTTTTTTTTATTATTTATATATGTCAATATGTAACATAATCTATATAAAATACAGTCCACCGACCAAAGTCCTTATGGTCTTATAATACCTTCTCAGCAACCAACACAGTAGTTGACCACAGAAATCCAACCACGGACTGCTGTCTCGTGCTATTTGGCAACTCCTCAGCATGGTGTGGGCTTGGTCTCAGGTGGACAACGAACGAAAGCTGAGCAACTATCCACTCTGTCATCTGTATCTGCTATATCACCAAGTTCGGAGGCATCTAACGGCTACAGTTGCAAGGGCGGATAAATCAACACATACGGGAGAAGAGATGAGGGACGTGTGGTATTTACTTTGAGCATCGATCCACGCATTTTCTGACAAGCCACAGGCGCACCGCTAAGCAAATCTCATAAATGTCTATTTCCAAATTCGGCGTTCATCTAACATAGTGCTCCGCTGCAACACCAACCCCAAACAAAATCAGTCAAGCTTTACACACTTTTCAAATATTGAGCCACAAACGAAACATAAGTCACTTTTTAAGTGCACTCTGTACAGCGTATATATTACTCAGTCTTAGATTTGTCTCAAGTCACAATACTCGTATAATATACATATAAATCGTAAGAATTGTGCTTTAAACGTAAGCGATGTCAAATGAATACCAAAGAATACCAAAAAAATCGCAATGCTCAGTTCCTATAGCTATAAATTATAGTTAGTAGGCCCAATGGTGTAGATTGCAAAAGCAGGTGGCAGACGCGCCCCCCTCCCAAATCCGCCACTGTACAGTGGTGACCCTGGCGGCACTTAAAAGTCACATTGTTGGACTTCTCAACGCCTTCACGGACAGCTGACTGCTAGTGTATATGGCGATTATTTTATTTCTGTATGTCCTATCATTGTTTATTATTTATTTGATTACTCTTACTAAACAGTTAGGCTTTAAGCAGCAGAAGCAATCATAGAGTAAACACTACCGGAAGAGCCGCCACGCTAAACTTTCCTCGAAAGGAACAAATTAAATTTAAGAAAGAAGTCCATTCATAAAGTAAAACAGGCGAGGAACTCCAGACTCTCCCAGTTCCAAACATTGGAACTGGTAACAACGTACAGCAGCAAAATAGAAGTCCAAGCAGTTTTCCGGACAGACCTAAATACAACTCGCTCCAACCAGTTCGAAAGTTTGTCATTAGTTTGTTCACCGCCGTGGACTTTTTATTACTTCCCGCTGAAGATTCTGATTTATAGTTCTCATATATGGGAATTTTATTTTTATTGGTCTGAATTTCTGCAATTACTACGTTCTATAGGGCAAATAAACATACCATATATATGAATATCATCCCCTACATCAAAAGGAAGGATGCTGGATATACTAGAGAGAAAGAAAATCAAAAGTTACCGGAGGGGTTGAAAAGGAAGACGTACATCTGAATTAATGAAACTGTTATTTCGCGTAGGGAGTTAAATGCAAATAACTGAGCATAGCCAATCAGTTTTAAATGGCACATGTTCTCAAAAATGAAGAATTTTGTTTCTCCACCAATATGAAAATAATTTTAATTTGACGACCGACTCTAGATATAATTTCCGTCGTGCTAATTATGTAGCCTTGTACAGGTATAATGCTGTTTTGAATATTGATTGGTCACACCTCAAAGAAATGAATGATGTAGAGAATGCTTGCTCATACTTATATTCAATATTGAATGAACTTTTTGATTTGTATATTCCAAGGTTCAAGCAAGCACAGCGTCGTTACCCTTTATGGTTCACGATTGATATAATAACTAATATAAATATATAAATATAATATAAACTGTTTTAAGCAAACAGGACTCATTCATTTCGAAAATAAATTCAAGCAGATACGTAGTAACATCAAGGCTCAAATAGAAATTGCTTCTGCTGCTTACACCAAGAACGTTGAAGATTCAATTCGTCATGATCCGGGTATGTTTTGGCCATTTTTAAATTCAAAAAATAATCAGTCTAGAATACCAGGCTCTATGTCCTTTGAAAGCAATGTTTTTGATACCCCTCAAGCTATTGTTGATGGATTTGCACAATATTTTTCGAGTGCGTTCACTACCTCAGATCCGTCGACTTTTAGAAATATCACTTCGAAAATTGTCACATATCATTAAATCATATCAGTTAATGGTGTACCTAGCTTCATAGTTAAGGATTGTATTCATATCCTAGCTAAGCCTCTTTGCTATATATTCAATTTGATTTTAAAATCTCGTTGTTATTCTAAAATTTGGAAGATGACAAAAATTTGTCCTATATTTAAGAGTGGTGTCAACTCAGATGTAAGTAATTATCGACAAATAGCTATTTTATGTAATTTTAGTAAATTGTTTGAGATAATAATTTATAACACAATATTCAGCTCCGTAAGATCTCTCATCTCTGAAAAGCAACATGGTTTCATGATTGGCAGATCTACGGTCACAAATTTAGCTTGGTTTCACTCAGTTTGCCGCTAGTGCACGTGATTGTCAGGGTCAAGTAGATGTGATATACACAGATATTGCGAAGGCCTTTGATCGGGTTGATCATTATATGTTGTTGGCAAAGCTTGAAGCGTTAGGGTTATCAGCCTCTATGTTGACCCTCTTACGGTCATACCTTGCTGATAGGTCACTATATGTTGAATTTGGTGGAAGTAAGTCCAAAATTTATACAGCAACATCTGGAGTTCCACAAGGTTCGAACTTAGGACCGTTGTTATTTCTTATTTTCATTAACGATCTGTCTTTGAAGCTAACCTGTATGCACTAGCTTTTTGCTGACGACTTGAAGATATTTTCGCCAATTCACTCTTCGAGTGACTGTGTGGAGATGCAAAGCAAGCTTGACTTCATATATGAATGGTGCAACAGAAATCTGCTAACGTTAAACGTCAAAAAATGCAAAGTGGTGTCATATAGTCGGAAGCAGGACCCCATCATATACAATTATAACTTTAACGAAAGCGTTTTAGCAAGAGATTCAAGTTTTAAAGACTTGGGAGTAGTGTTCGATAACAAACTCACTTTTAACGATCACATATCAGATATTGTATCATCTGCATCACGGTTGATGGGTTATTGTGTACGTAACTGGTCCGGTTTCTCTAATGTGGACTATTTAAGAATATTGTATTTTTCATTTATCAGGGCTAAGTTAGAGTATGCGTCCTTAGTATGGTCCCCCCTATATCAGAATGCAATCGGTAAACTGGAGGCTGTACAACGTAAAGCTCTAAAGTATTGGTATTTTAAGTACAGTGGTAGATACCCAGAGAGAGGATTTGATCATGACGTTTTATTGGAGTTTTTTGGCATTGAATCACTAAGGAATCGTCGTGACGCTCAAGCTCTCACTTTCCTTTATAAGTTAATGAATAATCATATTGATTGTGGGATCCTACTGAGTAAGATTAATTTTCATGCTCCCAGATTAGTTTGTCGGCATAATCACATATTTTACTGTGATACACCACGGACGAATATTTTATGCAGATCCCCAGTAATGGTAATGTGTACCTTATTCAATCTGTAACAGAGCTGATGTATGTCATGACAGCCTTAATAAAATATTAAACATTTACAGGGAGCAATTGAGATAAAATCGTTTTGTTGATGGTGTCAGTTATTGTTATTCTTCAATTGGAGCACTTTTGTTTTTTTTTCTTCTCTTTTTTTTTGTGGAAGTGTTTAATTGTTCAAACACCTATGTATTATGTGTTCATTCAGATCACTGATGTTTTTCTATTTTCTTTTTTTTTTGTTATTATTTTCTGATTCATTGTCTATATATATATATATATATGTGTATATATGTATATATGTGTATATATGTATATATGTATATATATATATATGTGTGTGTATACATGGTGTATATATGGTACCATTTTGTTTTGATTTCTCTAATTTCCTGTGATTGGGTGTATACCTGTTGGAAATAAATGAATTATTATTATTATTATTATTATTATTATTATTATTATCAGTTTTGTGATCACTTTCTAGATCATACCCAAAAAAACAATTTCAACTCTTTTAAATTTGATATATAAGCCTTATTATTAAGTTAAGAATGTTAGTAATGTCGCTACAAAGTGGGCATTATTTTTTATGTATTATATAGTTGCAGTAGGGAAGCCAGCAAAATATGTTAATATTTTTTGTATGGTCCGTATGTATGTATGTATGTAATGGAATCTATGAACATAATTTTCACCAATTTCCAGAAGTTTTATTAACTTTAAACTTCGCACACGTATCAAGGACCAATGTCAATGCAATAATTCGATTATCCTTATATATGTAAAATTCTGTAACAAGCAGATATGTTAATAAAAATCCACGGATTTCAAATACCGCTTGACGAATATTGAAACTACATGCCTCTGTAGCTCAGTGGCAGAGTATGTACTGGTCTTGTAAACGAGGGGACGTGATTTCAATCCTCACAGCAGTCAGATTGTAATATACCATTTTAAAAAAAATTTAACACTCTTTCATTTATTTTATTTTTCATTTATTAACACGCTTTAATCATTTATTAATTAATGGGTTAATGAATTTATTCAAAGTAATAAAAACATTATGTCCTCTCCATCCTAAAACACAGATAATATGTGTAAGACGTGTCAATCCCTACATCTCCCTGATGCATAATGGACATAGACAAAAAATATGAAAAATGTTTCACAAATAATGTCTTTTAAGTCCAAAAATCATAAAAACTAGTAATGTTTCTTGTTTGTCTTTTTTTGACTGGCGAGGATATCTATCTGTGACTCGCAGGGTTGCCAAGTCTAACGACGATCACGTCCCGAAGTGGAGGGTGCGAAATGAATCTTTTACATTTGCTGGTTTTGAATTTTTTCGTGAAAATTTACTAGGTATCATGATTATAAGCATCTTTGGTAGATTGCTCGATCCGGAATGGGAAAAATCTCCTATTTATGAAAATATTTTTGGTATCATCTAACCGTTGCAATCAGTGCACAAACACTGTGACGTATGCTTTATATGGCGCTCGGGTACCATGGGAAAGCTCTGCTAAGTATCTCGGTATCACTCTTGACAAGGGGATAACCTGGCCGAAGCACACTGAAGCGTTAAAAACTAAATTCCAAATCTCGTTTCGGCAACTCTACCCTATGCTATGTAGAACATCAAAATTAAGTTTGATCAACAAAGTGCGGCTTGGTGTTTTCTCGCCAAAACGCATTTGCGTAGCCTGCAGGTTTTGCAGAACAGAACCTTGCGTACAATCACTTGTTTCCAACCCTTCACAGAGACCTTGACATCCCTTACCTACATCAAACAACAAGCGCAGCTACGTTACAGTCAAGCAGAATCGCATAACAACACTTTGTTGCGCGAGTCAGTAGACTACACAGTCGAGCAAGTTCGCAAGCACACAAGGCCGCGACTCGCACTGTGAACAAAATTAAATCGTGCGACTTTAGGTCCAACCAAAATTATAATTTTTCTTCAACAACCAATCCCAAAATTAATTTCAGGATCAATTTAAAATTGCCAAATACTAACTAGCAATGCCAAGGCACCCCTCAAATTGATGCACTTCTTTTTTCTTTGCTCTCCCTCCTTCCTTCCTTCCCTTCTTTCTTCTTCCCTTCTTTCTCCCTGACTTTGTTTGGTATCTCGGCAACCAGACCTGACTGACCTACTGACTTACAAGACTTCAACCAAGAGCAAAGGTCCTACGGACCGCTCTGACAGACAATGACGAATAGTAGTATATGATTTATAGCATAACCCGCTGCCCTATCAATACAAATTTAACATACAGGTCGCCTAGCAGTGGGGATGCAGCGGTCAGGATGAATACCACGGCAGCAACTGATGATTTGGGCATGTCTGGTAACAACGTATGAAGTGAAACTCGCTAACTTCACAAATTTGAAGATTTTGTGCAATTCCTTTGAAAGTGGTGAAAGATATGTATGAATTGGCAGGGTAATGTCGCAGCCAAATGGCAGCCACTCTTTCTGACACAGTCCAGATCGAAAGATGACGATACTCGTGAAATGTATTGATACTTCTAAATATAGGATCGTATCGAACATCCCTACTGTCAAGATGTATAACCCAAGGTACCGACGGAACTATTTTGCGGCGTCATGGAAATAATTTTAACTTTTCATTTGTATTTTTTCAAGTGTTGTGCAATGATTTTGGGAAAAATGTCACGAATAGTCTTGTAAAGCATAGTAGAGTGTATTTCAACAGTTGGCGGAACTTACTCCACTGGGACCAGGAGGTTGAAACTGGATATTAATGCACAATCTGGCAGCCCTGTCGCACCCTCACAAAATGGCCGCTGACAACCACACAAGTCACCGTCTTGTCATTGAATAGCATGGAATTAAACCTTCAGAGTATATGTTTTGTGACTGGTACCAAGAGTTGACAGATCCCACACATGTGTCACTCCTTGAAATGCAATAATCAGCTGTATTCAAATAATGTCTAATATAAATATAACCTAGATTGTGTACTCGTGAAAAAAGAAAAATATGGCAAATTTATAGTTTTTTTGCAGATTCTAGGTTTGCTGGTAGCTTTAACGGCGCTCTCACAGTCAAGCAGAGTTTCTGAGGGGAATCGGGGGGGTGATAGGGAAACGCTAGTAGGACGGCGTTGTGACAAGGCAAGCGCTCTACGTTAGAAAAGGATAGTAATACGCAGAGGTGTGCTGTTCGCGTGCCTGGTTGAATTTGCATATTGCACAGAGTCGGATTTGATTTGGATATACGATCTAGCGTACGACTGTTTCCCTATTTTGGCGCATAGTATACTCAGCCCTTATTACTTTTATTACCGTTATTGTATTGTTGTATTATCGTGTTGTTATTGTTGTGTTGTTATTGTTGTGCTGTTATTGTTGTCTTTCTTATCAAGGTATCAAAAATGAACAATAGAAGAAGCCGCATTTAAATACGCACAGGAAAAAAAAACGTTTTCCAGATAGAAAAGTAGGTACCAAAACAATTATGAATTTTAGCATTCATTTTGCTAATAAATTAGACTATACGTAGTTACTATTATAACTATATTTTATATGTTATTTTAGCTTAAAAATGACAGCAAGGTTTCGCATATGCATTCTCTAACAGAGACAGATGGCATGGATCTTCAAATTCAGGTGTGTACACCCTTTTTTTTTAGATTTGCACCAGAGGCTGATATCATTTCTGGCAATTCTGATTAAAAATGCAGTAAGTTTACTTCATGACGTCGATAATAGTATTGTAGAGCAGTTTAACTCAATCATAGCTAAATTCATTGGGGGTAAACGGATTAATTATTGCAAGAAGAGATCCTACCAAGGAAGATGTGCTGCAGCCGTAGTGAGCCACAATACACAGCGACCTGTTTGTGTGATCCAAAAGCGGCTACTCCCTAGTTTCAGTCCAACCTCTTTGATTGCTAAAGTTGAAGAAAGGAGAGCGCACAAAAATCTGAAAAGGAAGCTGAAACCAAGGAAAATTAAAATCAGAGATAGTGATACTAAAGAGAACGCATCCTATGGGGAATTCTGTGAGAAGCCTGACATGAGCAACGAAGATATAGACGCTGCCAAGGTAGAATTCTTGAAAAAACTTGCAAAAACCGACTCCAAAATTTCCCAGATGGAGCAAGCCACAAAATCTCAGGATTGCAATTTGTGGCGTCTTCGTCGAAGAATGAGGTTGACTGCGTCTCGGTTTGGTGAGGTTTGTAGAAGAAGAGATACAACAAGTTGCAGAGCTCTAGTAAACGCCATAATATACCCAACCGAATTCTTTAGCAATGCATGTGACTATGGAAAAAAGCATGAAAGCGTGGCAAAATCAGAAATAGAGAAATCATATTCGCAATCAGAAGTACAATCTTGCGGGTTGTTTATTGATAGGACCCATCCATTTCTGGCAGCATCGCCAGATGGTTTGATAGGCGTAAAAGGTCTGCTAGAAATTAAATGTCCATGGTCGGCTAGAGAAATGACCCCTGAAGAGGGCATTCTGAACAAAAAAATTACGTTTTGGATAAACGATGAAATAAATAAAAAACATAAGTGGTATTACCAAATTCAAGGGCAGCTACACATTGCACAAAGAGAGTACTGTGTGCTTGGTGTTTGGACCCCGTATGGTTTGAAAATAGACGTCATTCGAAAGGATGACGTTTTCGGGAAAAATGAAATGGAAGAGAAATTGAAATTCTTCTACATGAACTGCTTGCTCCCAGAACTGGTCGATCCCAGAAAAAGCAGAAATATGCCAATCCGCGATCCCGATGTGATCTTGAAGGCACAAGAGAACCGTTTGAACAAGAAAAAGAGTTCTTGAGAATTGGCTATTTTTGCTGTACTCGGGTACCAAAATGGAAGATATTAGCATATTACATTGTACTCCGTTACTAACCCCTTCGTGTCGGCAAATGCGGTGTGCAGATCTCGCTTTAGCAGCGATGTGCGAGATGTTATGCTAATCTCTTCCATTTTGGTACTAGTACCAGATGTTCACTATTTATTGTATATTATGTATATATTGTTTATTTAAATAAAAGTCAATCGTCAGGCTCAATAGCACGTAGCATCGGCTAGCTTTATCTAGTCTGTTAGATGGCGAATATTGAAATGTCACATTGACACGTTAAGCGCCACAGTAGAATCTGAAAATCCAGTCCACTGGGCCAAACTGTTATTATTGTCAAATTAGCTTGTTTTAAGTTTCGGTTTAATATTTTGACTTGACTTTTTTCTCAAATCCTATGATTTTTCCCCTTTTTTGATTTTTTTTTTCTGAGGTACTAATTGTATGTCGCGTGGCCCACAGACCAGTCGGGTCGCGTGGCACATAAGTCGCGTCGCGTTTTTTGCAAGTCAAGACTTGCATCATGTCGCGCGTTGAGCACTGTTTCGTGTCATTTATTATTGAAGCGTTGTTGGTATTGTACGTCATCTTGTCCAAATTGCTTTACTGTTTATAAATTATTGAATACCAAATTTGTGATGTCGCATTACGAAGCGGAGCAAAAAAGGCTTGAACAATTGTGTAATGAAATACTATCGTATGAAGAGAGTGGCAGTACTGAGTTATGTGGGGATGTATACTTATCTGATGCGTATTCTCCAAGTGGTAGTGAATCAGATAGTAGTTGTAGTAATTCCATATTTATCTGTATTACTGTTTATTTATACCGGTATTTTGTTTATTCCTGCATAAGACTTTGTCAATCTGTTTAGTTTATAAGAGTTCCTCCATATTTGTGTTCGTTAGAATATCGACATTTACCATAACTTACTGATTTGCTGTGAAATTACTTTGTTCATTTTTGAATGAGAATGTCTGATTATTTTATAAGATTTGCTTTTTGTTTTAGATTTGTAGAATATCCTCTTTTTGTAAAACTCTATAAACAACGTGTTTTTTAATGTTTTCATTTCCAATTCAGTATAATT